GTATTAAAATAATGATCGAATAATATTTTTTCGTCTTCTAAATTATATGGTCAAGAGTGTAAGTCTCGTATTCTAAGTAAAACAAAAAATAATATTATAAATAATTGTTGTAGTAATGAAATTGTAAAAACAACTCAATTTGGCACTCTCACTAAAAATTATATTAATTGGTCTCAATTTCTAAGTTTGTATCAAGTCATTAGTATGCCTAACCAATCAAGATGCACCTTGATCTCAACCAGTTAAAATGGTATGGTACATTTTAATTAATTGAGCAGCCGCCTACATTATATGTGTTATGTCATTAGGCATGACGGATCCATGAAGGGCCCAGTGGGGGTAACCGCCCCCACTGAAAAAAAAATTATTTACAAAATTATCAATAAATTTTGTAAAAAAAACTTTAAAATGTTTCTACTTTTTGATAAAAAATTTGAATATGTCCCCACTCAATATCTAATAATACTCCACCATACATTGTTGTTGTTCAAAATTGCCCCATACAAGTTTCTAAGTCCGTCACTGTATATCATAGTTATGAATATTATCAAGACATCAAAATTCTTTAAAAAATAATATCTTAATTTACCTAGAAAAGTAATATTCTAATATTATTGAGAACATAACAATTAACAATAACAACGTAAGAATAATATACCATATAAAATTATCGAACATAGTGTCACTAGTCACTACTGGTGTCACAAGAAAAACATTACACTTGTACTTTTATTTTTTTTAATAAATATGGTGCCAGACCTCTTAAAATATGTTTTGTATAATTTGTATGAGAAAATTGGAAATCTACCGTAATAAATATTATGATTATCTCACTAGATCAATCTGTTGACTGAACTTTTCTTGAACTAAACATTATATCATATTCAAATAGAATTTGGTTAAAACCCTCTCTATTTTTGGGTAAATAATTAACTGAAACCCTCTTGTTAACATATGTAGCATACAAATTAATTGTTTACAATGATCATGCAACACATTTATCAAATAACTAACCTTAATATAATATAAAGTGCAACTTTCTTAGCACATAATTAATGAACTAATTATAAAACTGAGCCCACATCATGAACTTATCCACTAAGAATATCAGTGACGTTTAGGACTCCAAATAATTCCAACAATAATGTTGCGAAATATGTCATGAACACGTGGTTTACTTACGACTAGAAATGTAGTGATAGTTCTTTTTATGTGCTTGTCAATATATACACCACAGTCAACCCTGAATCACTCTAGTCTTATTAATTTGTGAGTGCAATTTTCAATTTTTACAATTTGGTATGTCACGCTAAGTGCATTAGGAGTGAGTTTGAAAAGTGAGTAAAAATCCTAATTAGTCTCGATTAGTTTTTTTTCATTTTAATTATGCTAATTTAAAATAAAATTCGTCAAGTATTTGTTTATACTTAGATTTGTTAAAAAACTTATTCAAAATATATTTTTTTTTCCTGACAATGCATCATGTGAATGATTGATTTTTAGATTATATGCCAAGCAATTGAAACTGAACCCTCAACAGAAAACGAAAAACTAATGCAATGCTAATTTTCTCCGTACCAGTGTAATTTGTGGAATCACTGACCATACCACAGCTAAGAATAGTATGGAAAAACTTGAGTCTGAATCAAGCCAAACTAGTCCTGTTCAAGCTTGACAAGGCTAGTTGTGCCTTATTCTAATTAATTGATCTGTATTCTATTCATGTCAAAGACTTAAAATTTGACTCTCATTACATAGTTCTCTTATCTGGCACCAGTCAGTTTACAATTTAGTATTACCTTCTTGCTTTTGACAGCAAAGATGGTTTCCATATGATTTCAGTTGAAAGAAAATTACTTCAAAAATGCCAAACTAACCTCTACTTTTTTATTACTTCTACATTAGAGTTCAAAGCTTGAACATTTCCCTTATGGTGATTTTCTTAGAGGGTTATGTTATCTCAACTGCATCAGCTGATCAAGAACAAAAAAAAATTGACCTCAAATTTCACAGAATAAGCCCTGATAAAAAGATCGATCAAATGTACTGACCAAGCTTTCCTTATGTACTCTAGCTAGTATCTACCCCCAAACTAGGAGCCTTCTGTGGTGGTTTTTTAAGTGTACAAAAAGGATTTGCTAGTTTTGCCAATAGAGTATATAGGTGATGTAGAACTGATTGCTGAAACCTTTATGATCCGTTTGGACCGCCAAGGAGCCAAACGGGTATACTGACAGATTTTCTGGACTGATACAGAAGTGAACCCGAAAAAGAGCCCAGTTTTATCAGAAACGGCCCAACTCGCATATATCTGCAGCTTCGCTGCTGTGGTAGGGCGTCTTTCGGTCAAATTCAATCGTTTAGGACTCGGGAACGACGTTTTCTCATTTTTGAATATTTCGGAATTTTTGTTAAAAGACTAAACGGATTCGATTTGCTTTCTTTTTTGGTATTTAGTAGTTTTTAGTAATTAAGTTTCTTTCCTTATTTTTTAAGAACATTCAGAGCAAGTTTGTTTTTGAGCTAGTTTCCTTACGTTTTAGGATTTCCTTTATGCTGTTAGGGTTTTATTTATAAATACATGTATTACATAGCAGATCAATCATTCAATTATCAAATAATATATCAGATTTCTCTTAATTCTTTTTCTGTTTTGTGGATTCAAAACACCCACCTTGTGGATTCAAAGTAACTTATACCTCGTGAACAAATTTATTGATTCCGCTTACGTCAATAGGCTTGTATTAATTTGTATATATATATATATATATGCATAGAGAGGAGAGAGAAGCAAACGAGGAGCAGATAGTTGATTTGATCATTGCTACAAGAATTGTCCAGGAGGGCGTCCAAGAAGTCCTCTTGGCTCGAAGTATTGCCTCTTCTTCCTTCTCTTCTGTCTTCGATAATGGGCTCCCACGTAGCACAGATCCTCATAAACGCTTCCTTTGCCTTCTTTTTCAAGCCCTGAAGATCTAATGCACCTAAAATTGGATAAAAATCAGACAGATTTGAAGCTGAAATCAACTCGATATATTTTCTTATAAGACTCTTCATCCCTCCATCCACACCCTCTTTCTCCAAGCTAATTAAATCTCTTGATATCGAAGCATTACTCAACTTGTTAAACACAGTTGCAAAAACCAATTCTGCAACTTTCACTTCCTTTCCTTCCTTTGCACACACAAACTTCACCATGTCCGTTGCCTTTGTCTCTCTCAAACATGCTTGACACTCCATTGCCTTGCCCGAGAACAGCTCACTTCTGCATATTGTTCTTAAATTCTTCCATCCATCATTGCACTCCAGTGCCCATCCAAGTGACAAGTGATTGAATTTTGAGCTTTTAGCTGGTACTGCACTAGGAACATACCGCGCAGATAAGCTCCGATCATGGGTCTTGAGAATTTCCTCTGCAGCAGTTGTGGATGATCCGATGATCATGATTTGAGTTCCTAGTCTCAGCGACATGAGAGGGCCATACGACCGAGCAAAGTTTGTTAGAGTGATGTGAGGCTTTTTTCCCATATGAGGAATATTGCCCAATATTGGCCATGGACTTGGTCCTGGTGGAAGTGGTAGACTAGTTTTTGATAAGAAATAAGATTTGAAATGCTTCAGGATGAAGAAGATGATAGGTAAGAGGAGCATAGGAAAGAAGAGATAGGTTGCTTCTCTTGCAATAGTCTCAGTCATGACTTGCAGTATCAAGATCTGGCTTTTTGCAGTGTGAATGTATTTGTTGTCAACTGATGTATTTCTCTCGAGAGATAACCATGTAAAGAAAATCTAGGTTACGTACCCTATCATCTCTCTCTATGTATATGTTTGTTAAGCCGGCAATCTTGATTGCAATGTTGACTTGCCCAATTTACAAATTGCCCCAACGGCCCCACTTTTTTTTTTTTTTTTTTTTTTTTTTTTTTTTTTTTTTGACAATAAACTCACGCAAGCACCTATTTGTCGGTACGAAGATTTGAAGCACTTTGAGATCGTCATATAGATTCCTCAACATTAATGGTATTGAATTTAAATTGTAGCACACTTGGAATAAAGAATAAAGAATAAAGAATAAATTTAATCGCGCATGTAAGAATTATGATTATTTGTTTATTTATTTTTTACTTTTTGAGTCCAATCTTGAGTAAAGAGACCAACTGCGCTTTTGACTATCCAAGTTTGAGTAGAGTTGAGCCCATATAGTTATAGCCGTAAAAATAATGTCGTAAATCACACTAATATTCCAAGTAATTAAAGACGTAAACATCCAATGGATTGGTCACTTTACATCATTTGAGGACTGAGGAGGGAATTAGATCAACCAAGTGCATTCAAATTGACCTTCTATGACATGATTTTTTTAAACTCACCACTTGAAATTTGAACTAACATATTTGCGCAAAATATATATGCATTGACACATCTTTTATTGATACGAGTATGAGTTGAAATATAAACGTATGCTTTCATAGTTGAAAACCGATATAATGAGCCATATCTTAGATAAACACAAACAAGTGTGATTATTGTAATAGTAGTATATATGGTAGCTAGGAAGATAAGTTAGCAATAATCCGTTGCTTATTTCTTCTTAAGTGTGGGAATGAGGACCAAGGGTATTTCCTTCATCAATGTTATAGAAGCCTTCTCGTTCATGTCTAGCTCATCGGGATCATTTCCATGTGGAAGTGACCAATCAAAATTATGAATCAATGGAGCAAGTACGAAAGGAACAAACTTTGCTGCCAAGTGTAGGGCAGGGCAGATTCTTCTTCCTGCACCAAAATGTAAGAACTCAAAATTATGCCCTTTGAAATCCAAAGTCGAGTTGAGGAACCTCTTTGGCTTAAATTTCAATGGATCTTCCCAATTCATGGGGTCTCGCCCAATCGCCCAAACATTTACTACTACTTGAGAATTCTTAGGATTGGAGTAATTCATCACTTTGTACGAGTCAGGTGCATGGCAAGGAACCAGAAGTGGTGCTGGAGGGTGCAGCCTCAGAGTTTCTTTGAAAACAGCTTGAGGTAATGTAGCTGAGGTAGATGGGATTCTTTTAGCACATCTTGTTTGATTTCTCTCGTCATTTGTTCGCGGACTTTCTTCATGGATTCTGGACTTTCTATCAGTTCTGCCATCGCCCACTCAATCGCATTGGCACTAGAAGCGAATATCTCCTATGACAATGACGCATCATACGTGTGAATGATCGATTGTGTATAAATAAATGCATAAATATACAGAGAGAGAGAGAGAGAGAGGAGAAAAGATAGCAAACCAGGAGCAGATAATTGATTTGTTCATCGGTGCAAGAAATGTCAATGAGGGCGCCCAAGAAGTCCGTTTGGCTTGAAGCATTGCCTCTGCTTCCTTGTCTTCTGTCTTTGATAATGGGCTCCCACATGGCACAGATGCTCATAAACACTTCCATTGTCTTCTTGTTTATACCCTGAAGATCTAATGCACCTAAAATTGGATACAAGTCGGATACATTTAGAGCTCCAATCACCTCAACATATTTGTCCAAAAGAGCCTTCATCCCTCCATCCACAATCTCCTTCTCAAAGCTCATAAAATCACTCGATAATAGAAGATTACTCAATATGTTATACACAGTGGCAAAAGCCACTTTGATCGGTTGGTCAATTAACATCAACCTTCGCAATAGCACGAATCATTGTAAAATAAGGCTATTGGTCGGGTAAGTCGAACCACAGGGACTGCGCTAGTCTAATACAACCTAAATGTCTAGAATCATTCTTAGAATGATGAAGGGTTTATAGAGGTTTTGTTGTTTGTCACTTAAGCTAAGAATATTGAAATTGCATAAATTAGAAACTTGCAAGAATTAAAAAGAAATGAAATACAAGTAGAGAAAAACTAGGGAAATGAATCCGCTCCAACCCTATACAAATTCTAGATTGAGATTAAATTGGGAAAATCAACGTAAATGATGGTCATGACACATAACAACCCTTGGTTGCTATACTATCCTCAAGAGGTTCATTAAATCAAAAACAAGAATAATCCATCAAAGATTCACATGCTTGAACTACCTAAACTAGGGTGTAGTCTTCAACATGCTCCCTAAGCCAAAGATTATCAAGCCCTTAATTAAATGATGAGAGCACACAAAGTTAAGAATCAAGTATAAACCATCAAAGGGCATCCTAAGCAATGATTTATCAAAGTTCTCAAACTCCATGCCATTAAAACCATTCTATGATCTAACTTCCATTGTCACTATGGAAATGCAAGCAATATGATTAGGAAGAGAAACCATCTAAGACAAGATGAATAGCTCAAAATAATCATGTATAGACATTAGAATTCATTACAACACATATGATGCTCTAGATCATAAAATCACCAACAATAATACATTGAAATCCCAAAAGTAAAATCTACACTAGAACATGCTTACAAGGGAGGGGCTTCATCACCTCCCTAGAGAAGATTTAGTTACCCATAGGAGCAATGGAAGAAGGAAGAAGCTTGAAGACCTCCTCCATTTTCGTGCTCCCTTCTTCAAGCTTGAAGAACTCTCTCTCCTTGCTCTCTTCTCTCTCTTCTAATCTTGTAGAATATGAGATAATGATATGTGTGGCCTTCCTTGCCTTATCTACCACCAAAAAGGTCACCAACCAACATCTCCAACCACTTCATTAAAGAGGAAAGCAAAGTGAAGAAACCAAGGTGCAAGTGAGCTGAAATGAGCCATTTCCGAAGGGCATTCTGCCCAAAATTCGAGCACTCTAAGCAAGGCCTCGAGCACTCGAATTTAGTGTAAAAATGCCCATGCTTCACTTGCTCCGCCCAGACCTACTTTGGTTAAACAGCCATAACTTTTCACTCCGAACTCCGAATGATGAACCGTTTGAAGATTTAGAAAGCTAATTCAGAGCTCTAAATATTTTATGTTTTGGTGGAGATCCAATTCTCAAGGATAGTTGGTCGAAAATGAAGATCAAGGCAGAATTTCATTGCTGCCAGGCAGTTCTGCGCGCCTCTGGTAACAAGGCCATAACTCTCTGCTCCGAGCTCCGAATGACAAACCGTTTGAAGATTTGGAAAGCTGATTCAGAGCTCTAAATCTTTTATGTTATGAGGGAAGTCCAGTTCTTGAGTTAGGAGGGTCAAAATGGCGAGCAAAGTTTAGGATCCACTGCTGCCAGAAATTCAGCCTTGTGCCTTTTGATGGCCAAAACTCCACAAAGCCTTGATTTTGCTCCTTTTTTGACAAATGGACCTGAAAATATATACATACACACAAATGAAGATAATCTACTTAATTAAACAAACAACGGACTTAACTAATGCAATTTAGGGCGCCTAAATATACAGTATTCAGCGCTTATCACACCCCCAAACTTACATTTTGCTAGTCCCTTAGCAAAACTACAATGAAAAACTTAATGAAAAGACAACCATGGGCTTGCTACTGCAAAAATATCATCCATGGTAAAATAAGATATATACATAGCTCAAATACAACTTGAAACAGACAAAAACTGGAGATGGGGTCATTGGGAAAACTACCTTGCATATATGAAGCATTGATACAAAAATTGGCTAAATACATTTCCACATACATGCATCAACATCAAAGTCTATATAAATAACTCAATTATCATCTCTTGAATGGAAATCAACTCTAGCTTCAGTGAAAGTGAATTGGATTCTCAACATGCGGCTTTTACTTTCTTTTCCAATTCCAAAGCACAAGTTTTCAAATCATTGAATTCCCTTTTAAATGAGGTCCCTAAGGCATGATTTTATTTACAAGACAACTTTTATTGCTTGTTGACAATTTATTGTAACTCATAAGCGAAACATAGAATGGTTGTGCAATGCTGAAGTCCCTTAAGCTTTCTAACCAACCTATGTAGCAAGCGTTAGGCCAACAACTCCCAAACCAGATGGCTTTAGGGTGTTAAGTGTAGAGACACTCCATAGGGCTTAATAGCTCAAGTTGGAAAGGCTACGAACTCCAACGAACCATGTTTATTACCAGTTTATTTTTTTGAATGACCGTGCAATGTTTAAGTCCCTTAAGCTTTCTAACCAACCCCTGTAGCAAGCGTTAGGCCAACAACTCCCAAACCAGATGGTTTTAGGGTGCTAAGTGTAGAGACACTCCTAGGGCTTAATAACTCGAGTTGGAAAGGCTACGAACGTCAACTGATCATTATTTTCTTTCTTTCTAAGTTTTTTTTTTTTTTTTTTTTTTTTTAGATTCATGCCAAAAGTATTCATCCATTAGGTTCATCAAATCAGATTAACTAGGGCAAGGTCAAGGTCAATCAAGTTACATGCCTCACAGTTAAGTTTCCAATGTGCATCTGTGCATTGTGAAGCTTAAAAGAGTGTCAAATCCAGCGAGAATTTAATTGAGACATTTATACAGACTAATTTGAATCTACATGATCATTTTAACTCAAATTTTCTTTATTTTCAAAAATATCAGCTGCTTCTATACACAAAGTTTTAAACATATGCTTTCGTCTCCAACAGGTTTCAAATTCCATTATCATTGCTTAGCAAAAATGTAAAACCAAAAATACATATATGCACCCCCAAACTTGAATGTCACATTGTCCTCAATGTGAGAAGACAAGTAAATCAAAATAAGCGCAAAGAGGGTAAAAGAACAATAATACCAAGTGGAGTGACGACGACGTAGATGTTCAGCCATGTGAGTGCGCAACGGCGTCCCCCAAACTTGGACATGAAGACCTATCAAGACAGAACTAATGTACACAGGTGAAAGCATAGGTCTCTTAAGAAAAAAATCAAAACAGAAATGAAAACACTAAGACGAATGTGATTGCAAGGTAAAAATCCATACAAAATACAAATTGGCACACATGAGTCATAAGTGTAAAATGGAAAACAAAACAATGCCAAAAGCCGTGCATTTAGAGAGATAAAGTTGGCTTAGGCAATTCGTCAAACACGTGGTGTGCAAGACAAAAAGGAAGAGGGCCAAAGGTTGATTAGAGATGAGAAAATCCAAAAATTTGGCCCTGCAAATGCAATACACAACTCCCAAACAATCACAAATCCTTCACACAAGCAATCCCATCCTCCATTGATTAAAAATTGAAAGAAAAAGAGGGTAGACACTTACCCAACAATGGAGAACACAAGGCCCATTATTTTGTGGTTAATGGAAGATATGGATGAAAGATTGATAGATGGGTGGGTAAGCATGCATGGGGGGTGGAAGGAAATGGAGAAGCATGGATGGAGAGGTGCATGCATGCATGCATGGTGGGAAATGTGGGGTGGAAGTGGTGGTGCATGCATGAATGCATGTCCTTGTGTGGTGGTGTGGTTATGGAGGCATGCATGAGGTGGTGGGTTTGGATAGTTGGGTTGGAGCTTAAGGGTGCCGAGAGGTTGAGTTTGGAGGATGGTGTGCATGGTTGCCGAGAGAGGTGTAGTGGATTTGGGAGAGGGTTGTGAGGTGAGGTTGATGAGTTGTGGAGAGGTTGAGCCGAGTGAGAGGGAGTTGGTTGGTTGAGGTTGTGTTTAAAAGAGAGGGGGCTTGGTTCGAGCACTCGAAGTGTGTCTTCGAGTGCTCTAAAATGGGGCAGTGGGCTCGGGTGTTTGTTGTATGAGAACTCAAGCAATTGCGAGCACTCGAAGCTTGGCTTCGAGTGCTCGAAAATATGGCAGAGAGGTGAGGGGAGCTTTGTGCATGAAATTGTAGGTTGTGGGGTGGCTTGGGGTTGGCATGGAGTGGGTTGTGAGGTTGGTTGGTGCATGGAGGACGTGGGAACATGGTTGATGGAGGTTGGGTTGCATGGTGGTTGGAGTTATTGTTCGAGGTGCATGCAAGTTGCATGAAAGTGCCGAGAGAGAGATGGTTTGCATGGAGTGTGGGTTGTTAGAGAGTTGGGGTGGTGGATGGAGATGCCGAGAGGGTAGGTTTGATGGGTTGAGGTTTGCCGAGAGAGATGAGGAAGGTTGGGGGGTTGATGGTGGTGAGTTATGGGTTGCATGCATGGTGGGATGAGATGAGGGTGGTGAAGTGAGGTTGATGGTGGTTGAATGGTGTGAGGCCGAGAGGGATGGTGGTTCACATTTAGAGCACTCCAAATGGGAGCTAGAGTGCTCTAAATAAAGGCAATAGCTTGGGATGAGATTGGTTCACATTTAGAGCACTCTAAAATGGAATTAGAGTGCTCTAAATACAAGCAGCAGCCTCGGAATGATGGTGGAGAAGTTTGGAGCAATCCAAATGGAAGCTAGAGCACTCCAAACTTGGGCAGTGACCATGCAAAATTGGTGTGGTAATTTGGAGCAATCTGAATGGGATTTGGAGGGCACGAAATTGGCTCAGTAGGCTAGGGGGTGAGCTCGGCTGTGAGGACTGAAGCAATGAGTGAAAGGGAAAACATGCAAGACAGTGAGCACCATAGAAGTTGAATTTGTTGCAATGGAATATGGAATGTGAGCAACATGGAAATGGAAGTTGTTCAAAATGGAGTCCATGCATGGAAATTCAGTGGCTTGGAGATGAAAGAATGCATGCAATGAATGCATGCAATGAAAGAATGCATGCAATGAATTTTAATGTAGGGAAAATTTTTGAAGCCTTGCAAGAGAATTCAGTCCATTCCACTGCATGGATGGAAAATTTTTGGA